CACACACACACACACACACACACACACACACACACACACACACAGCCCACCTGTCCTGTTGGTGCTTCTCTTTTGGTTTCAGTCCCACTATCCCAGCATCACCAGGCACGTGCTGTCAGACCAGCAGAGGAAAGGCTGTAAGTTACACACTCAGAGCCCTTGATGCACCTGTCGACAGACAGACTGCATGCACATCACTGTTCAGGCACAGTAAAACATCTAGCCACATGGAGGCAAGTGTGAATAGGACTACTAAAGCCCGGCTCCCATGTTAGTTTATCACCAACATGCCAGAAACAGAACGATTAAGCTGGGAGGGACTTTCCTGACCACTGGTGGCACCCACACGCGACTGTAAACAAAGCCGCACTGCACGCATTCAGCACCCGTCTCCTGCACAGCTGAAGGACAAGCATGCGAGCACACAGCTTATCAGGTGACGTGTCAGCGGCTTCCTCACTGCGTGTGTCAGGGCCGGGGGGGCAGGACACAGAAAAATGCAGTGACAGTAAGCTGTCCTTTCATCCAGACAAATGACACAATCTCCCCCAAGGCCAGTGACAGTGACTCTGATCAACCCAAAAGATAAACTGTCTCCTCGCAAGAGAGGAATTCGCAGCAGTCCGCCAGCAGATCGAGAACAAAAAAAAATGTGTGCGAATGTGTGAGCGTGGGAGAAAAATGCATGCCTCACACACGCTCGTATAGGGCATTTGGCAGACTGGGGCGCCCATGCTTTTGACAGCAATACTTTACATCCAGATCATGCTTGGATCCCGAGGTCAGTACCGACAGTGGTGTAGAAGAGGGCACTCTGGCCACAGGATGGCGCTGTTCTCTGGACTTCCTCAAAACACCTTAAAATAGCCAAGATCCAGTGAGACTGTTTCCACAGCAGACAGTCTCATAAGCCTTAAAATGTGAAAATAGGACAAGCCCCAAAAAAGAGGCCTTTTTATTACCATGTTTGGCCTGTGCATGACTTCTGCTGGATGGGAGGGGCTTCTAGCAGGAGCACTTTTCTTCCCCACCACGAATCCCCCGATTCCCCCCCAACACTTTTCCCCTCCCGCCTACATACCATCTACCGCCAAGCATGTCAATTCTTGTCAGAAATACACAAAAGTTCTTCACGGCATTGCTGGGAATCTCCTGTTCCCCCCTGTCACACGATCAGCCAACAAACACACCCATAAGCAAGGGAGATTTTCCCAGACAGACAGACAGACAGAGACAGACAGAGACAGACAGACCGACCAGCAAGCAGGCAGTCAGCAGACAGACAGGCAAGCAGACAGACCAGCAGGCAGATAAGCAGCAGACAGACCGACCAGCAGGTAGACAGGCAGGAAGCAGACAGACCAACGAGCAGGCAGGCAGCAGACAGACAGACCGACCGACATATCGACAGACAGACCAACAGGCAGGCAAACAAGAAGCAGACAGACCGACAAGCAGGCAGGCAGCAGACAGACAGACCGACCGACATATCGACAGACAGACCAACAGACAGACAGGCAGGAAGCAGACAGACCGACAAGCAGGCAGGCAGGCAGCAGACAGACAGACCGACCGACATATCAACAGACAGACCAACAGGCAGGCAAACAGGAAGCAGACAGACCAACAAGCAGGCAGGCAGCAGACAGACAGACCGACCGACATATCGACAGACAGACCAACAGGCAGGCAAACAGGCAGGTAGAGAGATGGACAGACAGACATCCTCGTAGCTAGCTCAGCCTTGCAGGGCATTTCACTGGCTGCCACGAGCCCATTGCCTCATTAATAACTTAAGGGAAGATAGTAGAGTGTAGGCGAAGGGAACTATACTGAATCCGAGCGGCTCATTGGCCCACACGACAGGCTGCACCAGCACGGTACGCCAGCACCGCTGCAGCTTAAATGCCTGCTCCTGTCAGCTCTCTGACCTTCACTGACCCCATTCTAGGAAACGGGTCACATGGTGTGGGGACCGCATCAGGGAGCAAAGGTACCCAGGCGCACGCGTGCAGAGTCACGCTAAAGAGTAACCGCGGGAGGAGCTCAGCCTGGGGACGGCTTATCGCCACTGCAGCCCGAGCGAAACGAGTAGCCACCCAAAGGTGAACACGCCTTTCCGAAAGACACGGGCCCACCAGCCAGGAGCAGGGAACGGCATGAACACTCCCCACGTACTTATCGGACTCTGATCTTACGCTCCGTATCTGCCGAGCACTCAAAGCACCCACATCCGCGTGACCAACCGTCAACTATGTGTGTGCGTGCTCAGGCATGCAGGGCCGGAGAGCGAGCTCTGAGACAGGAGGGCTGAGAACGCACCCCCCCTACCCCCCCCCACCACAACCGGGCAGGAGCTCATCCCTCTCCCCAGAGATATTACGGGGAAAACGGACAGAGGAGGAAAGGGGCTGTAATCACACCCTGCCTTCCTGACGTTACAGAAAGAGGCCACTAGAAACATTAAGGTGACGTGTTTTAACCGAGCCCTGCAGTGGTGTGGCAGAACATACAGCACATGCTGCAGGAACACAGAGGAAATCGCATACAGCACAAACCCAGGTGGCTGCGTGGAGACTTAAGCCAAGCCAGAGTGGAGCGGTAAACAGGAGTGCCGCTGGTACGGCACTGAATGGCATGGGCTGCAGGCTGCGAGCGAATGATTAACCACAGAGGCCAGCAGCCTGGGCACAGCGAACACAGCACTGGGGAGGGTGCCGACTGAGCCAGCTGAGGACACACAGACGTACACAGAAAAGCGCTCACAAAAAGGCCGGCTAAACCAGTAGCTGCATGCCTGAGAGCGCTGCCCTTTGCTCTGGGATCTCCCTGCGCTTCCTGCTCTTGAATCTGGGCCAACAGCTCGCGGGGTGCTGTGCCGTGTGCCACGCTTGTAATGAAAAGGGAGAGCTACCTTTATAAAACAGTGGCGTTGGACTATGGACATTAGGAGGGGCTTTACGATAACACACAGAGCCAGACAACATATCACAGAGAAAGGCAGATTTGTTTCAATACATCCGATCAGGAATACGGAAACAAAGCTCAACTTTTCAAATTTCTGTCATTAAACCAGAGGCTTGAGTTAAGCGCATGACGAGAGGACGGCATCACCGATACCCTCTTTCCAGTCCAGACGGGCGCCGTCGCTGCGGGTGAAAGACGCCAGCCAGTCGCCTAATGGCTGTGGAGCTCTCTCACACAGACAAGCTGAACATAGGCCTTCAGCTCCGAAAGAAAAGCCACATGCCACACCTCAGGGAAACATGAAAATAGAGTGAGCGCATGCTTTGTTATTAAAGGAGGGAGCAGTCACAGCACGGAGTCCCCAGCTCCCCCCCCCGCGCAACTGTCCCACCCTGAGGCAGAGAGCACTACAGCCCACAGGGTCATCCCCACACCAGAACCCACACCAGAACCAGCAGGCCAATGGTGAAAGTGGAATAAATCATGTCAGAAACTCCCAGACATACGATACAAGATCGTACCACAAAAACTCATTAATACTGACATGCGACAAGCTACCAGGTTAGCGTTAGCAAGAAATCAAGGACTTATGCCGTTCTCTGAATACTACTGAGACAGTAAGCAGGGGGGACACCCCAGTACAGGAGATAGGAAGTGGAGGGGACCCCACCACAGTCTACGAAACAGGAAGCAAAGGGGATCTCTCCACTGCCCCCCCCCCCCATGGCAGGGAAAAGGAAGCAGAGGGGACCCCCCCTCCCCAGTGCAGAAAACAGGAAGCGGAAAAGACCCCCAGTGCAGAAAACAGGAAGCGGAAAACACCCCCCCGCGCGCAAAAAACAGGAAGCGGAAAAGACCCCCAGTGCAGAAAACAGGAAGCGGAAAACACCCCCCCGCGCGCAAAAAACAGGAAGCGGAAAAGACCCCCAGTGC